TCGGCGTGGGGGCAATAGCATTACTCATAAAGTTCGATGTTTAGCATCTCGGTCAAAAGTAACATTCCGACAAACACGCAACACCCTTTTTCTCAAATTAAAGTAGCAATATATTCTGCGGACTTCGTTCTTTTGGCCTTCAATATATTCTGCAAACTTTACTGTTTGCTTCAGAAGGACAAAGTTGAGGAAATTTCCTGGAAGCCTTCAGCTCAGCCTCAGAGAAAACATGAAAAACGAGAAAATTAAAATATATTGATTCAACATACAAAATTTTCCTGCAAATTAGAGGAAAGGAATTTTTTTTAGTGTATTTGGTTATCAATTATGGATACAATACAAGTAATCATCTTCAAATCACTTATTTTAAAATTTAAATTTAAGGGATTTAAATTAGAAGAAAAATGATTTTACTTTGATAATCTAACTTTCTACCTTGCCATATGTGTATGGGCTGTCGTCTACGAGATGAACTACCTTGGCATCGAAGGGAGGGGAGTAGACCCACTGTTAGAAACCAGAACCCTAGCAGTAGCAGAGCAAGGGTAAGAAATCAGCAAGAGACAACAATTGAGAATTTTAAGGGATTTTATATTTGAAATAAGTGTAGAATTAAGTTTTATATAACTTCCTCTATTCAACTTAGCCTAATTTTTTTCCTCCAACAAAATATCTTTTAATAATTAAGTAGTTTATAAATTTCATATTTGTTCATAATTAAACACTACTTAAATAAGTTTTTTTATTGTAATATGTGTTATAATAATTATCTTATTATTGTAGTTAAATATGTAGTAATTATTTTCTTAAGGACATTCTAAAAAAATATAGATATTAATTTGAAATGCCCAAATTAAAAATTAGATGAATTAAAATTGAATAAAAAGAGTATTAGTCTAAAAACACCTAAACTCTATTGCTTTGCCACCACTCTCTAAGAGAAAAAACCCTAGCCGCATGGATGGTTTTGTTCATCCATTGATGGGGTTTCTTTTTGTTTTTGGTACATACTTTTATACGTGCTACTTCATCCCTCTGTTTGTGAGGGGAGCCGCACCATATGCTGCAGCTTTGTCGGTCCATTGGTGAGGATTGTTTCGCCCTATGGTCGAGTACCTTTATACGAGGGGTTTAGTATTATTCTTTGAACGATGTCATCTCTTTGCTGGTGGAGGTTTATTTCAACCTTTGGATTCTATGAGTGTATAGAGCACGTAATTTTCATTCTGAACCTTTTAAGATTGGGGTCTTAAAAGGTGTCCTTGATCTCCTTGGTTTTGGATGAATATAAAAAATGGCTCATCAATTTATCTGCAAGAGATATTTGGGGAGCAATGACTTTAGGCTATGGATTATTATTTGGCTGCAAACTATTATGGTGTCTGATGTGTTATGGTAGTGTAATTAATACTCAAGAGGTACTTACATATATTTATTTAGTTATCTTTAATATTTTGTTTTATTTTTTGAATTACTTTATACTTTAGAAGACATGTTTTTCATAGCATATGAGAATTATATACTGTAACCTTTATATGAGGTATAAATTGTATTATATTCACTTTATCTCTTTAATTCAATACAAGATGATCATCTTTTTTTTCAAAATAAATAAATAAATAAATAAAGTGTTTGTTTAAAAGAACCCATTCAATTTGGGGAAAGGAGAGCCTTTATTTGGGCATGATTTTTGCCTCACAAGAAATTGTTATTATTACATGAATATTTTTAAATGTATTTAATTTGATTGATTTTATTAATTTACATGTTTTTTAAAATAATTAATTATGATATTTAAAAATATTAATTTAAAAAATTAATTTTAAACTATTAAATAATAATTATTTACGCTCAACCATCTATCAACCGTTCCTCATAGCAAAACTAAATAGAAAAGGTAAGGATTTGTGTTGGAATAACAATTTCTTATGTGCCAGTAACTTTATCGAGTAATATATAAGTGATCCAAGCACACACTCTAAATTTCATACAAAGTGTAGAGTTCATTTACATTTATAAAAATGGCCAATTCAATTTATAAATTTCATGTATTTTAGTCTGTATTATACATTTTAAATATAATTTTAACGTTAAAATTATCAAGTTATTATTAATAAATAAATATTAAAAAATTTTAATAAAAATATTTTAATAATTTTAATATATAGAATTGCCATACTTTTAACCTACTGTTTTTATTAATTTATGTTACCGGCCAAATCTCATTGAGATATTTATAATCACTGAATCAACGGTCTCTTGAAATGAGCTTAATTTTTCTTAAATAATATAAAATTTTGAGTTTATATAAATGAAAGGAGTTCGATCAAACAAGATTCAATTCTCAGGGGAAGGTGAAAACTACAGAGAAATCATATAAATTTCAGATTTACTTTGCAGATCCACTGTTCGCGTTCATCATTTTCCGGAATTCCTCAAAATTGACGTTCCCGTCGCCATCAGAGTCAACGGAGCAGATCATCCGAGCACAATCTTCCTCCGAGCACTTCATCCCCAACCGGTTCAATACCAGGTGCAGCTCGGAGCTCGAAATCAGGCCGTTCTTGTCCTGATCATACAAATCAAAAGCGTCGCGCAGCTCGATAGTAGCTGTGGCATCGTCGAATGATGAGCGGCAGAGAGCCGCGAACTCCGAGAGATTGATGAAGCCGTCGCAATCGGTGTCGATGTCCCCCATGACGCGCTGCAGCTCCTCCTGAGAGTATCTGGTTCCCATCGCCTGGAGCACGTCGCCGAGTTCCGTGATCGAGATCTTTCCGTCCTTGTTGGCATCGAACTGGTTGAAGATCTTTTGCAGCTGATCCATATCCTGCACAATCATGGAGGAACTTTCGGCAGCATCCGTTTCTTTGTTTTCCATTGCACTCCGAGTTTCTAATTCGCAGGAGGAAAAACGAGATTTTTTAAGGACGGAGAAGGATTTCGGTATTTTGATTTATATAGAAGTGAAAAGAGGAGAATTTGGCGGTACGAGCAAGGAGGAGGGTTTTATAGCCGCGCAAACGAAGAGAGTGAGGGGAAGCGTTCAGGTTACCGAAATAAACTCCTTTTCGTCTTAAAATTACCAAATTGACCTAAAGTTTTTGCTTAAAATAGCAAAATTTATTATTTCTTTTATTTTTTTTTAAAGAAAAAAAAATTAAAAGTTGCACTTAGCCTTAATTTGGATTTGGATTGGAAAAGTTGGAGAGGGAAGAGAAGATACCTCCTTATGTTTGGGCATGTGTGAGTTATTGATTTTAATGGAGTGGGAAGGATTGAAAGGAGATGATACTTCCTTCACTCTTCTTTTTTCAATCTCTCCAAATTAACAGATTAGGAGGGATTAAGTTTATATTTTTTAATTTTTTTTAAAAAATATATAAAAATATTTTATATTAATTATTTTTTTAATTAATAAATTTTGAAAATTTTATTTTATTTTTAAAATATTTAATTAAATAAAAATATTATCATTTTCTCTCTTTTACTTTTATTTATTCAAATAAAATTAACATTAATTCTTTCCTTTCTTTTATTTCTCCTTTTTTTCCTTCTCCTCCTCTCCCTTCCTTTTCCTTTATTAATTTTTATCCAAACAAACACTTAGTAATTACTTGTACACATGTATAGATGTTTCATCCAAATTAAGGCGCTATACATTTTAGGGTACAAAGTTTGGGTAGACACAGCAATTTTAATAATAAAAACAGGGTAAACTCTATATTTTTAAATAAAAAATAAAATTTTATTTCTTATTTAAAAGTTTTCTAAATTCATATTCTTAATAAAAAAATGACAAATTTTGTATTTTTATCCAAACATTTTGTCCAAACTAATTAGTTTTGCCTATCATTATTGTGCCAAAAAAATTTTGGTTTGAAGGCCTACTTGAATAGAATGTTGTGTGATGGAGAGCTACCCATGGTACTCTGGGGCTTGATTGGTTAATTCTGTCTCAGAAATATTATGTGGGGAAGCTGCATAAAAAAAACAACTCAACTTCAGTCTTGAAGAAGTTAATTTCTGGACACAAAAATGAATGAGAAGAGCAATTGATTATATTTGTTTTGCAATTGGTTATAAATGGTTGAAAAGCAATATTAAATGAAAAGTAATTAATTATAGATCTTAAAGAGAAACTTTTTGAGATTTTTTTTATTAATGATTGCTTACTATATAACATAATTAGGAAAATAATTTAGAAATAATTTATTATTATTTTTTTAATAATTTTATATATTATTTAAATAATTTATTTATTTATTTAAAATTTATAATATTAAATATGTTTATTTATTTAATAAAATATAAAAATTATATAAAAAATTATAAAAACATTTTCTCTATATTATTATTTATAATAAATTACTTATATTAATTTATAATAAATTATTATATAAAATAATCATTTTTATATTTTTAATAACCAATTATTTCTTACCTTCATTTTTTAGCCTAAAATTTATTTTTCAAGTCTTAGTCAACTAAAAAGAAACGTTGGGTTCCCCAGCTATTACTTCTGGGACATGTACAATCAAACAGGCCTTCGTTTTGTCATCTACTCAAGGATAAGACTAGAGCACAAAAGGGAGAAGAAACGGAGGCTTGTACATCCCAATTGATATGATTGAACAAGGAACGGGGGCAGTGGCTATGGTGATTAATTATTTTATTAAGTCACTAAATTTTAATTAATATTTATAAATGTTTAAATAA